AAACACATTTGGGCTGTTGGTGTTTTGTGTGTATGAATTCATATATTTGTCACATAAATAAATGAGTTAATCTCAGAAGGGCTGGAATAAACACGGCATGGCGTAACGTGTACCCAACACTCTTCGCTCTTGCTTCAGGGAAGAGCTTCCATTGATTCAATCGTTGAATCATTCATCTTGACTTCCGGTTCCTCTTCACTCTCAGACTCACAGTCACACACACACACACACACACACACACACAGATCAAACATTTACATGATGCTGAATAAAGCTGTTGGGTTGCATTCGGGTTAGCGGTGTCTAAAAACATGGTACTTTTCTTGATTCAGAGGGTCAGAAAAATCGTCTCGGGTTACGACTGAGAAGTTCCCATAGTTCCCTGAGAAGAGAACGAGACGCTGCGTCGATGGCGCTTTAGGAACGATAATGCCCAAACACCGTACTTACAAATGGTAAATGGACTGCATTTATAAAGCGCTTTCACAGACCCAATGGCCACCAAAGCGCTTTACCTTTTTGCCTCACATTCACCCACTCATACACCGACGGTGGTGTCAGCCATACAAGTGCCTGTCTGTGTGAAAACTCTGGCACAACTAATATGGCAAGCCGTTTTAACTTTTATTCATTTCCAGGATATGAATCCTTGATATCAACAATTACATTTTCACTAGTTAAAATGATAATTATTGATATCAGGAATATATTTCTACTAGTAACAATGGCAATTTTGGATATCAGGAATTACATTTTCACTAGTAACAATGCTAATTCTTGATATCAACATTTACATTTTCACTAGTTAAAATGATCATTCTTGATATCAACAATTGAATTGCAACTAGTTAAAACTATAATTCTTGATATCTGTAATTGTATTTTCACTAGTGAAATGTCACCATAGGCTGCCATTCAAAATCAATTCTTGATATCAAGAATTGATTTCTTACTAGTTGAAATTCCAATTTCACATATCAGAAATACAATTCTTACCAGTAAAAACCTTTATTTTTGATATCAAGAATTAAATTGTCACTAGTTGAAATGTCTATTCTTGATATCAACAATTGAATTGCTACTAGTAACAATGTTCATTTTTGATATCAATAATTCAATTTTTCACTAGTGACAATGTTAATTTCTGATATCATGAATGTGATTGTTACTAGTAAGAAAGCCATTTTAGATATCTGAAATAATTTTGATATCAGAAATACATTTTCAGATATCAAAAATGAAAATTTTTACTAGTAGCAATTCAGTTGTTGATATCAAGAATAGACATTTAGACTAGTGACAATTTAATTCTTGATATCAAAAATAAAGGTTTTTACTAGTAAGAATTGTATTTCTGATATGTGAAATTGGAATTTCAACTAGTAAGAAATCAATTCTTGATATCAAGAATTGATTTTGAATGGCAGCCTAAGTTTGACAGTTTGGCAGTTTGACTGACCAATAGCAGGTGGGGGCGGGCCTATCAGTTTTACTGACCAATAGCAGATGGGGGTGGGACTATCAGTTTGACTGACCAATAGCAGATGGGGGCAGGACTATCAGTTTGACTGACCAATAGCAGGTGGGGGCGGGGCAGATAAATCAACTGTGTTTGTGATTTTGAGAGGAAACAGAGTTTGGATTAGTTTGGAAGAGAATGAGCATCAGAAAATAGAAAATAGTAGAAGAAACCAGTGATGAATGAGTTTGACCTGCAGTGAGACAAAAAGCATCAGTCACTACTATCACTGATATGAAGAGGTGTGAAATCACATGCTGATCTCTCTCTCTCTCTCTCTCTCTCTCTCTCTCTCTCTCTCTCTCTCTCTCTCTCCACCCCGTGTGTGTGTGTGTGTGTGTCAGGAGCGTGGGAAGGTCGGCGTGATCTTTAACGTGGGGACGGATGATATCGTCATCGAGGAGGCCGGCGTGATGGTGAGCGACGGGAAGTATCATGTGGTGCGATTCACTCGCAGTGGCGGGAACGCTACACTACAGGTGGACAATCTGCCCGTGATCGAGCGCTTCCCTTCAGGTGAGCACACACACACACACACACACACACACACACACACACAAACTATCCATACCCACACAAACTCACTCACTCACTCACACACACACACAAACTCACTCACACACACACACACACACTGTCTCTATCATTGAGGAAGATGTTTTTTGTGTAAAATGATGGTCATAAACTGTTAAACACTTGAATGATCACACCAAACCTGTTTGTGTTTGTCAAGGAAAATATCAGAATCAGTGATGCAAACTTTATCAAATATGGGACAAATTCTTATTCTGAGTCATTATTAAGATCAATTCAGTTCAACTTCAACTTTCAACTTTTTTTTATTTATATAGCATTTATTTATATAGCACATTTAATTAGCAACGTTGTTGCCCAAAGTGTTTCACAGTTATAATTAAAAACATACATATATAAAACATTTACCAACTGTACAGTGAGATCAGAGAGAGAGAAAAAAACGAAATAAAAATAAGTTATTACTTCAATGACCAGAATACCCTTAACTAAAAGCTACGTTAAAAAGCTAATTTCTATTGTTGGAGCGTGCCGGATATGAAGGTTCAGTTAGTCATAAGTTCAGTTCAATAACTGTGTGAAGGTCATCAGTTATGAAATGATTTGGATTCAGCTATAAAGCTTGTTGAACAGCATCTGATATGATCATGAGCTGATGAACGAATTCGGTCAAATGTGTGTCTTTGATTCATGTGGAGTTCCAGCACATTAAACTCGCCCGTGATCATCTCTAACAGACAGCTGAATATGAACATATACGGGTGTCATAATGACTGAAATGAGGAATCTGCGCATGTTAATGAGGCGGATCTGGACTCCTGCTAAATGAACGAGTGCAGTGTGACGCGAGCAGACCGGAGGAATATAAATACCCCGTGACCCAGTTAGCGCAGTGGAATTGTGGGTAGAATGTTGAGCAGAATCTGAAACCCGTCCGGGATTGATCCCAGTCTCAGAGCCGTCGCCATAGCAACGGGTTCTGGAGTGAAGCTGGCGTGAACTGGTTCAGAAGTGGGGGTTTGTCATGCTGAGGGGTATTAATGAGTGATGTTTACCATCATTTGTTATTGATAATGTCTTAAAAATAGAGTTGCAAACACATGACTGTGAAGTCGGACATAGAAACCATAGATCTGAAGCTTGAGGATAAAAGCATGTATACTGTCATGATGTGAACGCAGTGTAAGTGTGATTACGAGACCTGTCATGTGAAACAGCTGACAACGGGCAGTTTACATGCAGAGTGGAGTTTTTAATCTTATTTTTCATTATTTTAATTGTTAAGAATTTTTTGGGTTTGTGGTTTTTGCATTGATTGTGACAGGTCAGGAAGTGAAAGGAAGCGTTACATTTTTCATTTAATTTAAATCAAATCAAATTAAGTTTTATTCTTATTTTATTTTATTTTATTTTATTTTATTTTATTTTATTTTATGTTTTTACTTTGTTTTTATTTTGTTTTATGTAGATGCCTCGTTCACACCATGTCAGAATTGCAGCAATTACTGTAATTACTTGTAATTTCCTCTAAGGTCTCTCAGATCAACGAGTCCATATTTAAGGAGACTTCATTAATTATTGTTGTTTGTGAACGAGGGACTCATTCCCAACCCCAGTGAGCTGCACATGAAGCCATCATAGACAACACCTTCAGACAATCCTGATGTTAAACTAAAGTACACCAGAGCTCTTCAGAGGAGCCCGGTCCACAGAACAACAGTTGTGTGGTACATGAGAAGAAGAAAAAAATTGTACATTCATCTGATTTAATTTCTCTAAATAAATTTTCTAAATAATGTAACAACGTAACATAAATAGTTCAAGCATTATTTAATGAGCTGTCTTGTAAAGTGTTACTTTACAGTGATATTCCCAGTAGACTGAGACTCACGAGGGTTTGGAGTGTGTGTGTGTGTGTGTGTGTGGTGGGTGGATACGGCCGTCAGTGGGACTATTTTCTCTGCTTTCGTAATGCTTATCAAGAGCAGCGTGAGATATATCGTGAGGAACTCAGCGTGAGATCTCTGCCTCCATCACAATGAATCCTGCATTTCCAGAAGCACAAAGACGAGCTGGTGTGTTGGAAGTGACACCAGATAAAGATGTCACTTTCCAAGATAAGACTTGTGTGAAACGAGAGAATGAAACAGCATCTGATGTGTTTTATATAAATGTTGTGAGGGCTGTTTTCATCTCACAAACACTCGTTCTCACATTGATCTCAGATGTAAAATAAACCAGAGGTGTAAAATACTCAAAATTAACACAAGTGAAAAAAATTAAATAAGTGGAAGTATGGATACTGTGTGAATTACTTACTCGATTAAAAGTATCCAGCTAAAAATATACTTGATTGAAAGTAAAAAAGTACAACTTTAAACTGTATTGAAGTAAGATGTAATCCGGCGAACAATGAGTAACAAGTACTGTATTTTTCTTTGGGACATGTACTTATGGCAGGACACTACAGGTGAATAGGGCAAATGTTTTAACGAATAGATGTCACTATACGTAACCAGCTAATTAATCACAGTCCATTACACATGTTCTATTACACGTTTTCTGAAATGTTATATTTAAAAAGCAATCTATGCATTAAATGCACTAATTTGCATACATTTCCAGAATATAAATATGAACATTAGATATAAAGCCAGATTCAAAATTCTTGTTTGATTTTGTTGAGATATTAGAGTTAAAAGAATTTATAGAAGGGATTTGGGATATCCTTTTTTATAACTCCACAAATCAGAAAATACTGTCAATAGACAGAAAAAAAACATTGTCTCCATGTTTTTTAGGAATAAAATGTTATAAAAATCAGGTTGAATGATATATGAACAAACCCCTCAGTAAAAACATTCGGAATAAAGATATGAATAAAACTCTAAATTTTGGTGTACGTAAGTGTTACTGAAGTGGAGAAAAAACTCATTTAACAACATGTATTGTAATTGAAATATACAGACGCAAATGGATAAAGTGTTATAAAATAAACACTTAATGTGTTTTCTGGATGTTTTCTTTCCACTACTCTGGAAAATCCAACAGTTATTCTTACTAAGACTTTTTAGTTAACTTTACTTAATGTTTTAACTTAATTGTAAAAAATATTCTGTACTAATCACACATTATGCCCAGTTTACTCAGAAAACCCAAATTAAGATTAATTGATTCTAAGCTGACTTTGATTTTCCTAAAATGTTTTTGTTTAAACTCTTTGGTTGGGCACTTGGAACTCAATTTATATTACTGTAATTATCTTCCTATTCAACAAGAAATCACAGTTGGTTTCAAAGGAAGGGAAGTAATAAATAGGTTGCTTTAAAAAGGTGACCTATATATTCTAACCAAGTCATTAACTAGTCATAATTAACTAAAACATATAATTAACATGTTTTTCAACTTTTTAAACAACTTTTACTTGGGCTTATATAATCTCTCTATATTTGTGACAACATCATGTAATTGATCATGTTTGAGTCACACACAGACTTCAACATTCAGCACGCAAAACACAACAATGGTAACAATTACATTTTATGTATTATTTATTATTTTTTAATTACTAGAACTCTCGTGTAAGGAACTATACTAACTAAGAATTTGTCGGTACAACAAACCATTCCTAGTTCACTTTGCTTCGTTTTTTGAGGTAGTCGGTTCGCATGCTTTTTTCAAGTAAGTCTAACTAATTCGATTTTACAGTGTAGTCTGAAATAAGATTATGAAAGCAAAATAGAACAAAATCTAAACATTTACCAGTGCATGAAAAAACGTTGGTATTGCCTTAAGTAAAAGTAAAAGTACAAATCACCCAAAATAATACTTAAGCATAGTAAAATGACTCCAGTATGTTACACCCCTGGAAGAAACCATCTGAATACTTCATACAAGCACATACATGATGATATTCCTGCATTTCAGTGTTTGAATTGGAGGACTCGTATATATGACCCCGGAGGATTTGCTCTTGCTAATAACGCTGACACTGATGGCCAGTGCGGGTAGTGTGTGTGTGTGTGTGTGTGTGTGTGTGGATTTTGATTGGATCATTTGCAGTCGAGATGCAGGAGTTATTAAGAGTCAGTCGCTGTGCTAGCAGTGACTTCATTAAAGAGCTAATAATAGATAATTAAAGAACTGACAAGTTTGATTTCACCACAACGCCAACTCTCCCTCATAGAGCCGACAGCACGAGATGTCATGCCAGCAGATCCTCACATTCTCAGTATGATTTTCTCTCACAATAAGTGTTTATATCTGAATCATAATGAGCTCCGCGGGTCCTGCAGCGACACACTGCTTTATTCTCAGTGTGTGTGTCTGTATCTACTATTCAAACAGGTTCGGTGTGATCATTGCTATTCTCGTTTGTATTAATATTTTAAATTAGTTTTTATTTTTACATTTTCTACTCGCATTAGTTGTGTTCTTGTTATTTTTAATAGTATGTGATGTCTACAGTACATAGTTTGTGTTTATTTCAGATTAAGTACTAGTTATTTTTGTACTTACCGTCCCACAGGTGGGACGTTTGCCATTATATTTTTAAAACAATAATATCTTAGTAAAAACCTTAAGTAATATTGACAAACTATATATCATTTGAAAGCTTACAATCTCTAGTTTCCATATTTGGTGATTGATTTTCAAAATAAATTACAGAGGAGCCGTAATTTATCAATTTGCGACAAGAATATTTTCATACTCCTAAGGCGTGTTCAGACCTTTATTTTGAAATAGCAATGAACATGAAAAATCATGAAAAAAATTGTAGAAACCTAGTTTGTTTTCATGCCAAGAGTTCAAAAGATAGCATCCATTCAATTATTTTAGAAAAAAAGGTCTGAAAATGTTTTAAATATAAAGAAAAAAATAATAAATTCACCATTTGTGATGTGGCAGCGAGCTATGACGCACATGCGTGTTCTTTGTATGTGTTTATTAGAGGTTGAATTCATATCAAAATCTGCCAAACTTCTCATATTACTTCTGAATAGGATCTCTACTTCATAAATTGTATGAAAATTGTGGAAATAATGGTTCATATCACTCAAAACACATTTGGAAATGGAGGCGCCCTTATATGGGCAGTAATGGAGTCTGGTTGTGACCTAGTGAAAAAGTTTGGTACTGCGCCCAAACAAAATCTTACTGAAAGCTCATTTTTTGAGATATCAACCTAAAATTTGAAACACAACTTGTTCAGATTTTTGGCTTTGATTTTTCTGCAGTTTTAGAGTAGCCCAGGTTTTGAAAATATATATTTTATATAAAATATGAATAATTAATTTTTTTACATTGTACATTTCCATAAACTCAAACTTCTATAACTTTTTTTCTGTTTCACTTTCTTAATTTATTTCACTTCTACATAAATCTGCCAAATGTCTTCTTTAAAACAAGACCAATCTTACGTCTATATTCCAAAGCATTCTTGAATTACAACCATTTATGTTCGAAATGTGCATTTTCATGTCTATTAAAAAAAGGGGGGGTGACAGTTAACAGGTTAAAGTGAAATGCAACAAAAATGGAAAAGTTGCCTTAATTCTTATTTTCTTTCAGGAAATGTTTTTTAATGGTTTTCTGTTTAGTTAGTGATAATCAAACTAAATCAGTGCGCTCAACAACATTTGGTTATCTGACCTGAAACAGAAAACATCTTCCTGCAGTTTTACAGTTTTGACCATCACTGATATGAAAATGTTCCTTATGCATTTTTAATGAGAACGACAACGATTTGATGTTGCTTGTCCACATTCACCATGACACTTTAATGCACTGTAATTATCCATAAGTAATATTCAACCTCTAAAATGACTCATAAATATGCTTAACTCATGTTTAAAACACATGGTGACCAGAGCTTGGTTCACTTTCTAACCTCAAAAAACGATGTTTAAAGCCTTGAAGGTGTTAAATATGATTTTAAAGTTCATAACCTGCTAAACGTTCTCTCTAACCTCTAATCTTTAACCTTTGACCTTCCAGATTGTAACCTGTTGAATTTGTTTGTTCTTCAAAGGGAACTTTGATAATGAACGGCTGGCTATTGCTAGGCAAAGAATCCCGTACCGACTCGGTCGGGTAGTTGACGAATGGCTACTCGACAAAGGTAATTAAACAGCACAAACCCCACTAATGAACGATCTGTCTAATCACGCTAAACACATCTCTGGATGAAGTGCACGCCCAGAGACGCAGCGGAAAACACGAACGTACTGCGATTCACACAAGCGGAAAATGAGGCTAAATATGAGTAGAGACATCAAAATTGCCAGTGTTTAATTACTCTGTCGAATTCGAAGAAGTGTAACTTGCTAAAGGTTTCTACTGAAGACGAAGAGTTGCTCTGCGATCCTCAGATGCGTGATATTCAGATATCTGACAATGGGACTGCACTTCTCCAGAGTATTAACCTTACCAATAACCCCCACATAACCCTCCCTTGACCCCCAGCAACACGCACTGTTCACTGTTCAAGACATCTGAACTCCAGTTAAAGGGACTCTATTTCAGTGCCTCTGTTTCATCTTCGCTGTGTCGTCGTTCGGTCTAAATTATTCCAACTTTAACCCTTTGTGTCCAGAAGCTGCTCACTTCCTGTCCCACATGTGCTAAATGACTTCACTTCCTGTTTTTGAGGGCAAAAATAAGAAATCGCATCTAATTCTTTTAGCTTCAAGCAGTCGGAACAGGACTGTTGCATGGATATATTGTGGATGCGAGAGTTAAGTCAAGTCAGCTTTATTTATACAGCGCTTGTTACAATATTGATTGTTTCAGAGCAGCTTTACAGAGATAACAGGAACAAATGCAACAGAGTTTGTGTCTAGAAGAGAATAGCGTCACAGTCCAGCTTAAGGAAGGTCAGCGATGGTTCATTTTTGTTGTGAAAAAGTTATTAATGTATTTCATTTATATATATATATATATATATATATATATATATAATGCTGTCAGTGCAGGAGATCAACAATAATGTTGAATATTAAATTAAATGTTAAATTTAATGTCCCCAACTAAGCAAGCCGAAAGCTAATGGCAATTGGTAGAAATGTAACAAATATGTCTTTATGATCAATTTGGACTATTTGAAATTTCAGCGTACTGATTGATGAACTAATGCCATGTGGTTTTACACCGTGCAAAAGTGCTGTTCATCCTCAGTATTTCTTGTTTTACTGTACAAATATCTGGACATTCTTAAGTCAATATGCATTTACTCGTGTATACCAATGGGCCAAAAATAAACTTAATTCAAAAGGAAAATTCCATTGCCAGATATTTTTTCTTGTTTCTATAACAAACCAATTTTGAGTAATTACTCAGAAAACAAGACTTCTTATCAGCTTTGTTTTTGCATCTAAAGTAATTGTCTCTTGATTTGAAGAAAATGGAAAACAAGACCCAAATGCTGATGAACAACAGCACGTTTTGCAGGGTGGGCAAAAGTTAAAAACAGATGTTTCCATTGATAAATAACATGCAAATCAATGCGTCTGTAAAGCAAAGTTCCAGGTTTAATTTGAGAGTATCTTTGACAAGCGTGAGTGATCAACAACATTACAACAGATGCGATCAGATGTTCTTAAGGTGTATTGAAGTAAGTATTTGAGTGTAGAGGACGGTCTGTCGACTCAAAGGGTTAAAGAAACTCCCTGACAGGGAAAACCTAAAGGTTTAACCGAAGACTCGAGCGTTCTTCTAAACCCTGAGGGCCTTCTCGTTTTAGTCTTCATTGGATTAGATAAAGTTGAAGCCCTCAGTCATAAACCGGTTTCTAAACTCTCATAACCAAATGAAAACAGATCCGATGAAGAATACGGATTATTCGTCAAAGCGTAGCGGACCGTCTAAATAGAGCTAACATTCAATGCAACGCTTGAGCGAATCTCAGAGGGTTAAACACTGAAATTATTCTGTGTGAATGAATCGGATCCATTGAAAGAGTAGACGTTCTACTTGTTGTTTTGGAACGTTTGCCGAGAGAATACGGTCCCTTTAACAAAGAAATGTGTGAGAATAAATGATGAAGCAAATGATGTGTTGATTCACTGCCATGTCTGTCTGTGAATACAGTTTGGACTATTGAGTTTTAGGATTGTCAACATGAAATATAAATAAATCACTGATTCATATCCCTGCTCTTATTGTGAATGAAACATCCGTGACGTTAGTCTAACGAACGCTTTTTTGTCTCTAAAATCTTTAACAAACCTTATAATGTATAAGTGCAGTTCATTATTAGTGCATGCTATAGCTAATGAACCTTGTTGTAAACTGTTACCTAGAAGACTTGTAATAGAAAACACATGTGTTAATGCCTGTGATGAATCAGCTGGGTAAGGATCTGTAGTTGACCCCGTTCACCTGTGGTGTATTGCCTTAATAAGTGCAAGTGAAGTCCTGAATATGCACGACGTGTTTTACATTATTGAGTTGCAATAGTCCAGACTGCACCGGGTCCGTCACACATCCCAGTGTTCCAGGATCGCTGTGGGAAAGGCCAGTGCATGTGTGGAGAGAGACTCTGGTGTGACGTTGAGTTAGATCAGACGGAGCGTGTCGTAGATTGGAGATGGCAGCACCTCCACACACTCCGTGAAGAGGAAAACAGGGTTTAACGGCTCAATTCCAGCAGACGAGCCTCGCTTTCTCTCCCTCGTCCTCATGACTCTCCATCATTCCCTGTTCTCCTGTATCTGACGCCTCTCCATCTCTCGTGTTTTACTGTGAAGTCGAGAGACACAGTCGGAGATTACAAACACCCGCAGTGCATTGATTTCTTCTGTGCTGTTTATTCCTCTTCCTGAAGAAAGCCCTCAGCTGGGAAATGCCGGCGCAGAACACATTTGTTTTACAGCAGAAGCGCGCGGCTCAATCACTGCGGCTCAGCTCGGTTTCAACACTTTTCACTTTTAAATGACTCCAGAGAGAAACAACACAGGCTTTTCTATTAGAGAAAGCTCATCCGTCTGCACACACACTCCTGCAGAGACACGTGAGGCTCCTCACCGGCGCTTGATGCGTCCTGACAGTGTGTGTGTTAGTGTGTGTGTGACTCCAGGAACTCTCGCCGTTAAGAACAGTTTCTGTCCCAGTTCTGGGTTTCTGTCACATCACTCGACCCGTCACAGATCGGACGGACACGACTGTGCCGAGTTTCTGATCAGTGTGACTGTGTGTTTATGAGCTACTGATGCACGAAAAATATCAACTTTCAGAGACAAAACAGTTTTACAATAAACCATGTTTCTTAATATTTGCATATATGTTAAATTATACATGTAACCCTTTAGCGGAGGCTTTTATCCAAAGCGACTCACAAAGAAGGAGAGCAACAGAAGCAGTGAAACTAACTACAGTGTGAGCAATCATTAGTAAACACAGTAATGAATAATAAACAGTTTTGATTTTAATAATGTATTAATAAGTGTTGAAATCGTCAGAGGAACAAGAGCTGTTTAACATCTGAGAATATCCTAACCAGCGGATTCATAACCTTCAGGCCCACTGGTTAAACACACACACACACACTGACACACACACTCTCTCACACACACACTAGGGCTCCCCTCAACTAACGATTTTTCTAGTAGACTAGTAATCGTTCATTTAAGCGATTTGTTGACCAATCGCGCGTTCATATGAATAAGCCATAAATCATAATGACACGCCTTTAATTACCTATATATTACATAGCCTAATCAGCGCTCCAGCAAACGTAACAGTGTGTCGTGAAAAAACAGGAGGAGACCATTTAAACATTTTTTAATAATTTAATAATGAATTATTTGAAGACTTTATTGGTGATGTTTTCTGTGTTTTGGGCTGCAGAGATTAAGTCACGATGCTGACTCGACTATATGCTTGTTTCATACGGATTACATAACCAGAGAATATTTATTTTCCATTTGAATTCGTTTATTACAAGTAGACATGTCAAGCTTTCTATAGATATAAGTGTCATGTCCGTGAGGCGAGTATACGCCGAGTTCCTCCAGCTCTGACCGGGACAGTTTTTGTCTGGGGATTCTTTTCAGTATTTTACAAAAGCACGTTTTGTTGTTATTGTGAGTTTACAGAAATAAAAGTAGACCCTTTACAGTTCTCATTACTCGTATCTGTACGACCAAAAATGCCGTGAGTATTTTAAGTGAAATGCGGTGATGTGTGTGTCATGCAGTAAGAGCTCTCACACACACACTAGTCTAGGAGAACATTAGACTTGTAAAGCTGCTGATATCGTACATGTTTCAAATGATAAACCATATTTATACTACAGGGCCGTTGAATGCTTGAATCTGATTGGTCGATGAACGTTCTACCGTGTGCAATTATCTTCAGGGAAACGCACGGCTAAAGTAGTTCCGGCAGGTCGTGACCGCATTACAGCTCCATATCACTGCGCGTTGACTGTAATAACGGAAAATAGGATACAATTCATAACAGAAAACACATGCGCTTGATCTGCCATTATCGATGTCTAACTTCACAATCACTGGAAACATGCCGTTTAATTTGAATAAATAAAGTATAAAGTCCTATCTGTAATCAATAGAAAGTTAAAGTGAATATAGTCCTGCGGTACGGGTTTTCGTAATTATTGCAGATAATATAACAGATACATAATTATTGATACGCCTACTTGTTAAAAGGGCTTTGTGTTTCGTTTATTAGGCCAGTCTACTGGCAATAATAGAAAAAAAAAGAATGAACGAATTAATTAAAACAAATTGAATTAATAAATAAATAATAATAGTGACGCACATGCTTTTCTCTCATTATTGGAACATCTCTCTCTCTAATAACTGCATTCATAACTGCATAAAGCCGGAGACACACTTACTGTAAGGCCGGTTATGAGTGTAATTTGATACTTATGGCGGATCATGCCCAAACGCGTGTCAGTCGGTGTGTAAGATCTGCTGCAGTCGATGGAAACACTCAGTCAGAGAACGTGTCAGCGAGTCGTGTGTGTCCAGCTTTAGTCTATCAGTGGCTCAAACCTGCGCTAACTCTAAAATGACGTTTTGGAATTAGCATCGGAGGCATGGGATTAGATCATAGACTGTACAGAAATATGTGTGTAGTGTGTGTGACGTCACCCGTAGGTTTCTGAAGAGCGTTTCTGAAGCCTAAAGTGGGCGGAGCCGGCCGTCGCCATCTTGGCCGCGTCTCGTCACTACCGGATAACAGACAATGGGCAAGAGGCGTGACGTGGGTGGAGCTGAGGTGCTAATGCTATATGCTAATGCTATATGCTACTGGCCTCGCGCTAAAGTGACAGCTGGTCGAAGAAGTAAAGCCAATAGTTAAAGTTCATGTTTTTGCCCTTCGAAACACTATAATAGTTAAAAGACGAAACTAAAAGTGAGACATTATTATTCTGCTAGTTAAAAATGTATTATCATGCAGTAACTTACAATATTGCTCTGAGCTTGTGCGTGTGACAGTGATTCATGCACACACACGTTTTATAGACCAAAACCACTTTTAGCACCAGGCTGTGAACATGTGTTTTCCTGCTGTAAAGTTGGACATTTTAACATGCGGGTCTATGGGATTGAGTCTCTTCTGCAGCCGGCCTCTAGTGGCCAGTGGAGGAACTGCAGGTTAACTCACTCAGTGTTGGTTTCAAGAGAGAGACCGTGAGGTTACCGCCGGGATTAGATGCGTAAGAAATGAGTCCTCCATCGTCTGAACAGTGTTTCGAGGAGTGGTAACTGTAGTACAAGCGGAATAATTGCCTCCGCTTCGCGTCGTGACCGCATTACCAACGGCCAGTCGTCAGTTATTCCTTGCTTGAGGTCAATGAACGCTCTGCGAACGTTTGCATTTCCTGCCGTTAACGACCTGTCCGTCACAGACTGCGTGATTCGCCACTTCCTGTGGAGGTGTTTCCCTGCGACTAAACGACTAATAAAAAGTTGGTCGACCAAACCTTTTCTAGTCGACTAATAGGGGCAGCCCTATCACACACACACACACACACTCTCTCTCTCTCGCTGATGTCCTCAATGGCTCACTGATGTCCTGTACGGGTCTCTGTCCTCAATCGTACAGTTAAACACTGAATGATCTCGTGTCCTTCAGCTCCGGCTCATTTCACTCTGAACGAATCAAAACATCTTCCCTCACACTCGTTTATTTCTCTCCAGCGCAGACGTTTTACTGGGTCTGAGGAGCTCAAATCATGTTTGTCTGTGCTGGAGTTTTCGATTCTTCCTGCTCATGGTTTTGGGAGTTTTTAGTCGAGCTCAGTCAGACAGAAGCGTTGTGTGAGATCTCGTCTGATCTGCCTTTCTTCACACAGAGCGAACTCAGGAACAGAAAGTCAAACACATTCACAGAGGTTAAGATGTGTGACGGACATAGTGTGTGTGTGTGTGTGTGTGTATGTGTTTTAATTGTTTCTGTGCATTCAGATTAATAATTATACTCAATATTAAGTGTCTTTTAAACCCAAAGTTGACAGTTTAAAGAAACCCAAACACCCTCCAAACTTTCCTTTCTGTTTCTGTCACTCTTTAATAAATCTGTATATTTCCCATCATCATCATCATCGTCATCATCTTTTTCATTCTCTCCATCTCTCGCTCTCTGAAACCCTCTGAAGGTCATTTCTGCCCACCGTGGCGTTTCCATGGAGATGATGATGATGATGATGAAGGTGGTTTATGAGTGAGAGAGAAACTGACTGATAAACCGCAAATCTTGCTCTTGGTAACACAAATTGAGTTAAAGGTATCGTTCATACAGTACGAAAATAAATAGTGATAAAATACGATACAAAATTATGCAAAACTAAATAATAAGACACAATGCTTAAAAGGATAGTTCACCCAAAAATTTTAATTAGCCCATGATTTACTCGCCCTCAAGTCATCCTAGGTGAATATGACATTCTTCTTTCAGACGAACACAATCTGAATTATATTAAAAGATGTCCTGGCTCTTCCAAGCTTTATAATGGCAGTGAATGGCCGTTTCTGTCCATCAGAAGTCCATAAAAGTGCATCTATCCATCATAAAAGTGCATCTGTCCATCATAAAAGTGCATCTGTCCATCATAAAAATTCATCTATCCATCATAAAAGTGCATCAGTCCATCATAAAAGTGCATCTATCCATCATAAAAGTGCATCTATCCATGATAAAAGTGCATCTATCCATGATAAAAGTGCATCTATCCATCATAAAAGTGCATCTATCCATGATAAAAGTGCATCTATCCATCATAAAAGTGCATCTGTCCATCATAAAAGTGCATCTGTCCATCATAAAAGTGCATCTGTCCATCATAAAAGTGCATCCATCCATCATAAAAGTGCATCCATCCATGATAAAAGTGCATCTATCCATCATAAAAGTGCATCTATCCATCATAAAAGTGCATCTATCCATCATAAAAGTGCATCTATCCATCATAAAAGTGCATCTGTCCATCATAAAAGTGCATCTGTCCATCATAAAAGTGCATCTATCCATCATAAAAGCGCATCTATCCATCATAAAAGTGCATCTATCCATGATAAAAGTGCATCTATCCATCATAAAAGTGCATCTGTCCATCATAAAAGTGCATCTGTCCATCATAAAAGTGCATCTATCCATCATAAAAGTGCATCTATCCATCATAAAAGTGCATCTATCCATCATAAAAGTGCATCTGTCCATCATAAAAGTGCATCTGTCCATCATAAAAGTGCATCTATCCATCATAAAAGCGCATCTATCCATCATAAAAGTGCATCTATCCATGATAAAAGTGCATCTATCCATCATAAAAGTGCATCTGTCCATCATAAAAGTGCATCTGTCCATCATAAAAGTGCATCTATCCATCATAAAAGTGCATCTATCCATCATAAAAGTGCATCTATCCATCATAAAAGTGCATCTATCCATCATAAAAGTGCATCTATCCATCATAAAAGTGCATCCATCACAAAAGTGCATCCATCATAAAAGTGCATCCATCCATCATAAAAGTGCTCCACAGGCTCCAGGCAGTTAATAAAGGCGAAGCAAAGCACTGAAGCGAAGCACTTTTGCACTTTTATGGACTTCAAAACTTAAACGGCCATTCACTGCCATTATAAAGCTTGGAAGAGCCAGGACATCTTTTAATATAACTCTGATTGTGTTCGTCTGAAAGAAGAATGTCATATACAGCTAGGATGACTTGAGGGTGAGTAAATCATGGACTAGTTTTCATTTTTGGGTGAACTATCCACCCTAACTACTAGATGGACATTATATCAGTGGCCTGACTGGATAACTGTGCTGTAGTTGATGTGAAGTGTTACCGGATCAGAGGTTTGCATCCGTCTCTCCGTCTCGACTCTGATCACTCAGCTGTGTTTCCTCCGTCTCTGCAGGTCGGCAGCTGACGATCTTCAACAGCCAGGCGTTCATTAAAGTGGGCGGCGGAGAAAAGGGTCGTAACTTCCAGGGTCAGATCTCGGGTCTGTATTATAACGGCCTGCAGGTGCTGAAGCTGGCGGCCGAGGGCGACCCGAACGTTCAGGTGCAGGGGAACCTGCGTCTGGTGGGAGACGTGCCCTCGGTGATGACGACCGACACCACCTCCACCACTCCACTCGCAGACATGTCCACCACCATCATGGAGACCACCACCACCATGGCCACCACCACCACACGCAAGCAGCGCTCGCCCACCATGAGGGACAGCGTCACGCAGGTCAGTGAGAAGCCTGAGGATCCTTCGCTTCGTTACCAAACAGGCACTTCAAGTGCTTCTTCTTGGTTCGGTTCACTTTCTCAAGGCAACATCTCAAAGCGTACCGAAATGTGTTCACTCAAGTCACATGTGAGTAAACACTGGGTTAAAAACAACCCAAGGGCTGGGTAAATATAGGACAGAACACATGTTGGGTTAATTTTACCCAGCAAATTGGGTTGTTTATTTAACCCAGCATAATGGGTTGATTCATTGGTGGTGGTTGAGGAGATTCCCCCTTCCATATGTAAAAGCGCTTTGAGTACCTAGAAAAGTGCTATACATTTTTTTAAATATTATTATTATTCTTTTATTATATTATTTATTTATTATTTTATTTATTATATTACTATTACACTTTCTCAAGGCAACATTTCAAAGCGTACCAAAATGTGTTCATGCTAGTCACATATGAGTAAATCCAGAAGGCAATATAGTGTCGGCCCAGATCCGATGTGGGCCGACACTGTGTTGCTGTCTGAGAAAGCTGTCCTCTCATTGGTCAGGGCCTGTAGATCGTTCGCTTCATTCTGAAACAGGCACTTAAATTGTTTCTTCTTGGTTCCGTTCACTTTCTCAAGGCAACATTTTAAAGCGTACCAAAATGTGTTCACGCAAAAGTTAAAACACATGTGAGTAAACACTCTAAAAAACACTGGGTCATAGGTAAATATTGGACAGAACACATGTTGGGTTAATTTTACCCAGCAAATAGGATTGTATATTTAACCCAGCATACTGGGTTGATTCATTTTTACTGTAGTACTAGCTTTTCTTTTTTTTTACTTCATACATGAATTAATGTTTACAGATTAACTTACATCCTTTAAACTTTAGTTAAAAATACTCTCCACAACAACTGGTTTTGAGAGACAGCGTCACGCAGGTCAGTGAAAAGCCTGAAGATACTTTGCTTTGTTACCAAACAAGCACTTAAAGTGCTTTTTCTTCATTCGGTTCCAAGGTAACATCTCACAATAACGATGTATAGATACAAAAAATTTACACAATCCTGTATTTTACCGAAGACATGAATCTATTTGATGGAGCTGCAGTGCTCTCTCCTGAAGAGGTCGCAAAAAGCCCGCGATAAATAACAACCCCTGGGTTGTTATATCTGACCCAGGATCTGAGTAACACAAAAACTACCCAAACAGTGGCTTGTTACAGTACGTCTGACCCAGGATCTGGGTAACACAAAATCTAGCCAAACACTGGCTTGTTACAGTACGTCTGACACAGGATCTGGGTTGCACAAAAACTACCCAAACACTGGGTTGTTATATCTGACCCAGGATCTGAGTAACACAAAAACTACCCAAACACTCGGTTGTTACAGTACGTCTGACCCAGGATCTGGATAACACAAGAACTACCCAAACACTGGGTTGTTACGTCTGACCCATGATCTGGGTAACACATAAACTACCCAAACACTGGGTTGTTATATCTGACCCAGGATCTGGGTTACACAAAAACTACCCAAACACTGGGTTACTACGTCTGACCCAGGATCTGGGTAACACAAACACTACTCAAACATTGGGTTGTTATATCTGACCCAGGATCTGGGTTACACAAAAACTACCCACACATTGGGTTGTTACGTCTGACCCAGGATCTGGATAACACAAAATCTAGCCAAACACTCGGTTGTTACGTTACGTATGACCCATGATCTGGGTAACACATAAACTACCCAAACACTTGGTTGTTATATCTGACCCAGGATCTGGGTTACACAAAAACTACCCAAACACTGGGTTGTTACGTCTGATCCAGGATCTGGGTTACACAAAAACTACCCAAACATTGGGTTGTTACGTCTGACCCAGGATCTGGGTTACACAAAATCTACCCAAACACTGGGTTGTTACAGTACGTCTATCCTAGGATCTGAGTAACACAAAATCTAGCCAAACACTGGCTTGTTACAGTACGTCTGACCCAGGATCTGGGTAACACAAAATCTAGCCAAACACTGGCTTGTTACAGTACGTCTGACACAGGATCTAGGTAACACAAAAACTACCCAAACACTGGGTTGTTACGTCTGACCCAGGATCTGGGTAACACAAAAACTACCCACACATTGGGTTGTTACGTCTGACCCAGGATCTGGATAACACAAAATCTAGCCAAACACTCGGTTGTTACGTTACGTATGACCCATGATCTGGGTAACACATAAACTACCCAAACACTTGGTTGTTATATCTGACCCAGGATCTGGGTTACACAAAAACTACCCAAACACTGGGTTGTTACGTCTGATCCAGGATCTGGGTTACACAAAAACTACCCAAACATTGGGTTGTTACGTCTGACCCAGGATCTGGGTTACACAAAATCTACCCAAACACTGGGTTGTTACAGTACGTCTATCCTAGGATCTGAGTGACACAAAATTTAGCCAAACACTGGCTTGTTACAGTACGTCTGACCCAGGATCTGGGTAACACAAAATCTAGCCAAACACTGGCTTGTTACAGTACGTCTGACACAGGATCTGGGTTGCACAAAAACTACCCAAACACTGGGTTGTTACGTCTGACCCAGGATCTGGGTAACACAAAATCTAGCCAAACACTCGGTTGTTACAGTACGTCTGACCCAGGATCTGGATAACACAAGAACTACCCAAACACTGGGTTGTTACGTCTGACCCATGATCTGGGTAACACATAAACTACCCAAACACTGGGTTGTTATATCTGACCCAGGATCTGGGTTACACAAAAACTACCCAAACACTGGGTTACTACGTCTGACCCAGGATCTGGGTTACACAAACACTACTCAAACATTGGGTTGTTATATCTGACCCAGGATCTGGGTTACACAAAAACTACCCAAACATTGGGTTGTTACGTCTGACCCAGGATCTGGATAACACAAAATCTAGCCAAACACTCGGTTGTTACGTTACGTATGACCCATGATCTGGATAACACAAAATCTAGCCAAACACTCGGTTGTTACGTTACGTATGACCCATGATCTGGGTTACACAAAAACTACCCAAACACTTGGTTGTTATATCTGACACAGGATCTGGGTTTCACAAAAACTACCCAAACACTGGGTTGTTACGTCTGATCCAGGATCTGGGTTACACAAAATCTACCCAAACACTGGTTTGTTACAGTACGTCTAACCTAGGATCTGAGTAACACAAAATCTAGCCAAACACTAGGTTGTTACAGTACGTCTGACCCAGGATCTGAGTTACACAAGAACTACTATAACTAACACTGGGTTCTTATATCTGACCCAGGATTTGGGTTACACAAAAACTACCCAAACACTTGGTTGTTACGACTGTCCCAGGATCTGGGTAACACAAAATCTAGCCAAACACTGGGTTGTTATAGTAAGTCTGAGCCAGGATCTGGGTTACACAAAAATTACCCAAACATTGGGTTGTTACGTCTGACCCAGGATCTTGGTAACACAAAATCTACCCAAACACTGGGTTGTTACAGTACGTCTAACCAAGGATCTCAGTAACACAAAATCTAGCCAAACACTGGGTTGTTACAGTACGTCTGACCCAGGATCTGAGTTACACAAGAACTACTCAAACGCTGGGTTGTTATATCTGACCCAGGATTTGGGTTACACAAAAACTACCCAAACACTGGGTTGTTACAACTGTCCCAGGATCTGGGTAACACAAAATCTAGCCAAACACTGGGTTGTTACAGTAAGTCTTACCCAGGATCTGGGTTACACAAAAACTACCCAAACATTGAGTTGTTACGTCTGACCCAGGATCTGGGTTACACAAAAACTACCCAAACACTGGGTTGTTACATCTGACCCAGGATCTGGGTTACACAAAAACTACCCAAACACTGGGTTGTTACGTCTGACCCAGGATCTGACTTACACAAACACTACCCAAACACTGGGTTGTTACGTCTGACCCAGGATCTGGGTAATACAAAAAAACACCTAAACGATGGGTTGTTTGACTAGTGTCTGACCCAGGATCTGGGTAACACAAAAACTACCCAAATACTGGGTTGTTACATCTGACCAAGGATCTGGGTTACCAAAAAACTACCCAAGCACTGGGTTGTTACGTCTGACCCAGGATCTGGGTAAAACAAAAAAACACTTAAACACTGGGTAGTTACGTCTGACCCAGAATCTGGGTTACACAAAAACTACCTAAACCGTGGGTTGTTATAACTGACCCAGGATATGGGTAACACAAAAACTACCCAAACACTGGGTTGTTACAGTACGTCTGACCCAGGATCTGGGTAACACAAAATCTAGCCAAACACTGGGTTGTTACAGTACGTCTGACCCAGGATCTGGGTTACACAAAAACTACCCAAACACTTGGTTGTTATTTCTGACCCAGGATCTGGGTTACACAAAAACTACCCAAACACTTGGTTGTTATTTCTGACCCAGGATCTGGGTTACACAAAAACTACCCAAACACTGGGTTGTTACGTCTGACCCAGGATCTGGGTTACACAAAAACTACCCAAAAACTGGGTTGTTATATCTGACCCAGGATCTGGGTAACACAAAAACTACCCAAACACTGGGTTGTTACATCTGACCCAGGATCTAGGTAACACAAAAACTACCCAAACACTGGGTTGTTACGTCTGACCCAGGATCTGGGTTATACAAAAACTACCCAAACATTGGGTTGTTATATCTGCTCAATCTCTTCCATCTCAGATGGGGGTGGACCAGTACTACTTTATTTGATTTTTTATTCTAAACTGTTTTAATTATTCTTATTTGTTTTGATTACTTTAATTTCTTCTATGTAAAGCACTTTGAATTGCCATTGTGTATGAAATGTGCTATATAAATAAACTTGCCTTGCCTTGCCTTGCGTTATATCTGACCCAGGATCTGGGTAACACAAAAAAAACACCTAAAAACTGGGTTGTTACGTCTGACCCAGGATCTGGGTAACACAAAAACTACCCA